TAAATACAGATTTTTCTGTGGTAAATAAAAAGGTTTGGAGAAGTCTATATGGTATTGTATGAGCATCTCACCGATCCTCTTTTGGTTTTTGTTGCTCTAAGCCAAATTGTCATGTTATTATTATTGAAATTATCATACCAAGACTCTACACTGATCATATATCAGAGAAAACATTCACATACAGACATGTTCAGGAAACAACCATGTATCCTAGCATGTTAGCAAACATACTAGGAAACTTGGAGTTTTTTACCATAAACATTTCTAGACAAAACTCAGAAATTCTTGCTGAGAGATGAGAGGATGATACCTCTCTCATCGTGGGTTCATTTAATGGTCATTGTACAACACAAGGCTGTATAACAAAATTTACGTTTGTAGTCTCACACAAACAACACAGAGCAACACATAATAATAAACTATTTTGTTTTTGATGGAGTGAGAAGGAGAACTTTAAAATTCTCACAGCCTGAGGGAAGAAGCTGCTCTGAAGTCTGGTGATACTTCTGTAGAAGGCAGCAGGGTGAACAGCCTGTGGCTGGCTGGCTACTGTTCTTTATCATTCGGGTTCTGCGCGTGCGCCTCACCTCATTGATATCACTGATTCTCAGTAGATGGGTACCAATGATCTTCTGAGGGTTTTAAATCACCAACTGCAGAGACTGTGCACCTCCCATGCCAGTTTGTGATGTTTCTTAAGTTTCCTTAACAAATACAGCCATTTCATTGCTCTCTTCACCAGCATGGAGATGTAAGATGACCATAACAGGTTCTTTGTGATGCTGATTCTCCTGCTCCATCTCAGCTCCACTGATGTACACAGGGGTGTCCTAAAATCAATGACCAGGCTCCTTGTTGCAGTTGTGGGTGTACAGCGCAAACAGGAGGGGGATGAGCACACAGCCCTGGGGGGCTCCGGTGTTGAGCACTAGAGTGGAGGAGCTGTGTCCACCAATCCCAACTGTCCAGGCTCTGTGTGTGAGGAAGTCCTATTTCCAGTTGCAGAGTGTGGTACTGAAGCCCAGAGTGCTACGTTTGCCAGTCAGTTTCATGGGGGTGTTGAATGCTGAGCTGAAATCCACAAACAGCAGTCTGATGAAGGTGTTGTTATTTTGAAGAACTGAGTGGGGGGCAGTGGATCTGGCATCACCTGATGGTTCTGAAAGCAAACTGGTGATGGTTCAGGCTGATTTTGAGAAGCAGTTTCTCAAAGCACTTTATAAGAAAGGAGGTGAATCCCACACGGCGGTCATGTCTGTCAGTTCAATATGAAGCTGAAGAACAAGAAGACAAAGACCGAAATAGGGGGAAACAGCTAGCTAAGCTTTGTCCAAATGTTAGATTGACGTGACACATTATATCATGTTTATTTAATACATAAAAAAACTAAACATTTTACAGGGGGGTTATGTGCCAGACTGCTTGTTGGCAGTAAAAAAGTCCCTTTCACCTGGAACACTGTACAAATTGTCAAAGCTGACTGCTTATGGTGATTTAAATTTTTAAGGACAACAGCACTCTTGGTCAACTATTATATTTTATATATCCTAACTGTATATTATTTATACTCTTTGTAGCTGGTGACTGTTGTCTCTGGCTCCTTGTGTTATCTGTATTGTATTTGTCATTATAACAATGTTCTTATGCTGCCCTTTTGGCCCGGTCGCTCTTGAAAAACATCTTACTGACATTTTTATACCAGGTTAAATAAAGTTAAAACAGCTCTATACTTGTCGTCTATTTCAGGGGGGAAAAAATTTAATTAACGCATCAAAATAAGCAAACATTCAGGAGTTATTAAGGATACATCACACAAAAGGCTAAAGGATGCATGACGATGAAATTATTCATAATAATTACACCTGACAACCCTGCAAATCATCTAAAATATTTTATTTATGTAGTTTGTTATTCTTAAATCTGTGGGACATAAGGAACCTGCGACCTTCGACACAAACCGGGTGATACATGCTGCCAAGGTCGTGGAGGAAATGTCACCAATTACCTGTGTGGCCAGCAGTTAAGCACCATGTTGGAGGCTCTACCTCTCTAAATATGACTAATTGCCCCTGCTGTTCTGCTTCTTATGATACAGGTGAGAACTCATTACCGGGATGTTCCGCCTCAATGGGCTCTCTGGAGCTCTGGCTCTCAGGCAGATGAGGGGGAAATAAACAAGCACCTGGCTTTGTGCACGCTCACACATTTTTATGTTTATATACTTGAAAATAATTGGTTGTTTTTATCTGTTAAAGTGCATTACAGCTCTTGTCCCTTTAAGCTCCAGTAAGGCAAAATTCCAGTAATTTTTCAGTAATGGGCAAATATCCTCCAGGGATTTCTGATACCTCTGCCAAGTCAATTCTGCTGGGCATTAGCTACAGTAATACCTTTTTCATTGATCTGTATCAGCGCCTCTGCCTGCAGTCTGAGTGTGGCTGAGCGAGGTACAAGATAGCCTGACACAAAATCCTTTCGGTGTGCCAGCAACGTCAGTTACCGCCATCAGCCAAGCAAAACAAACAGGTTAGAGTGCACTTACAACACCTCAGCAACATATGCTTCATAATAAAGCTGGATCAAGTTTTTCAGGCAGTGACAGGCTACAAATCAACCCGGTTTCTGATTTGACAGGTTTGCAGATGTTGAGTGAGGAAAAACGTGGCAATGATTCTGCTTTAAAGGTTATGCAACAACTACGAAGGGTTAAAAAACACTTGATCCAAATTGCCAAAGGTGCAGTGTTGACATATGACGTTGTCTTTCAGTTACGGGCTAAGGGTGCGGTTGACAAATAGAAGGAGAAACAAAGACTTAACAACACCTATTGAGAACTAAGCTGCAGCTACACCTCTTCAACTGGAATTGTGCTTCCTCCATGCATAGTTACAATTTGCCAGGTTCAAAGTGACAATAAGTGACTTCCTGATAGAAAACTGTCATTCATTTGTCCACGGTTAAGACACAAGGACGCAGATGCACTTTGCTTCACGACAAAACAGGTACATAGAGTTTGTCTTCAAACAACGGAAGCCAAAATGGGTTTTTCATGATAACTTAGCGAGCCTCAGGTCCTGACTGAGAGATGAACAAATCTGTAGCATCGAGCCTCGCAGGGAAAACAGACACACTGATAACAAATAAATCACATATACGTGAGCACATTAATCTAAACTATTCCTACATTTGCATCCTATCTGCTGCAGCTTTGTGCAGGCAGGATTTTCTAGGATTAATCACTTCTAGATTCATTAACTCTGACATGTCACCATGTTTGAATGTTGCAGTACGTGAGGCACTAAATAGAACTGGGACTCGATTCCAGGATTAAATAAGGCTTTTCTGCAGCCTGAACTTTTGGCATTTAACCTATAATTTCCCGGGTTATTACAATCTTTCCACAATCAGCAGGTGTAACTGACCTCCGCAGGGTCGTAGCTAGCGGGTTGTGGGTCCCATATACAGGAAATTAATGTCCAGAGTCACCACAAAGACAAAGTTGCCATAAACATGCAGTACAAAAGACAAATCTGTGAGGAACATTCCTTGAACATGGCGCAAAAAACAACTCTCACAATCTGACCAATCAAGACAAAAAAGGACACAGGAGAATGAATATATAAACTGAAGCGATCAGTTTTTATCGGAGTTATTATAATTTATTGGATTTCCCCAAGGGTCAATGCCTGGGCCTCTTTTAATTAACATTTGTTATGTTTCCATTAAGACAGATTACGCAAAATAATGAAATCACCTATAATACTTATGCAGATGACACCCTGTGACTGCCGACCCATAGATTTTCTCTGCATTGAAGAAATAAATGACTTAAGGTGCCGGCTTACCCTTCAGCTAAATACAGACAAAACTAAATTAATGTTTAATACTCTGTGCTCAGCTTGACTCCATCTCCTTGAAAATCAAAAACTAAGTCAGAAATGTTGGTGTCATCATGGACTCGAAACTAAAGTAAAACAGACACACCAAATCAATAAGTCTGAATATTGCGCTTCATAATTTTTTTCCTGAGAGTTAGATGAAAAGATTGATACCACTCTTGTGTCTGTACACTATATATGAAGCTAAAGCCAGGAGGCACTTAGCTTAGCTTAGCATAAAGTCTGAAAAGCCAGCGGGCCTTTGCTCATTATCACAAATCTCTACAGAAACATTTATTTTCAGCTCACCTTCAGACAGAGCCAGGCTAGCTCTCCCCCCCCCCCCCCCTTCTTCCAGTCTTTATGCTAAGCTAAGCTAACTCCAGCTCCATATTTAGTAAGCCTATACAGAAATGAGAGTGGCGTCGATCTTCTCATCTAACTCTCAGTGACAAAGCAAATAAGCATTTTCATTACTAGGTAGAATTATTCCTTTAAAAACATCTGGGTATCCATGTCCAGCTTTAATTTCCAGGTTTTCAAATGTTCTTTTCTCAGATTTCCTGCAAAAACATTCTCAAGCAACTTCCTTTGTCTATTAAATGTGTGGAATGATTGGGATGCCATGTTTTTATATATTTTATCCCCTCCATTATAAAGCAAAAATCTGTGTCTATCAACGATGCTACAATTAAATAAACATATGTTTCTAGGCATGTCACTGCAGATTTATTAGTAGCCTTGGGTGAGCTGTGCCCCCCCCCCCCAGCAGGGTGCCCAGAGGCCGCCCTTGGCTTTTATTGGTCAGCAGGCAGCAGCCCTGCTCCTTGGGTACCATGTCCTGCTCCCTCCTCATCTGTGTGCAGATACGCTCCTCCCTGCTGAGCTCAATCAATCAACGTCCACACACTGCAACTGTGACCTACACTGACAGTTAATGCTTTGTGCAAATCAAACCAGCTGAGCAGCAAAAGCCCATCGAGTGAAATGCCTGAATAGTGTAAGTTAAGCTGGCAGCCGAAAACACAGGCGACAAATTCCTGCTTTGGCTGCGTTGAGTCAGAGCCAATTAAAGCAGAGGACGCATCGTTTATACAGATTTTTCATAAACTCAGCACTTACCTGCCCACGGTTTGGTTGGCGAGCTGTCTCATTCGGTTGAACTGCTTCTTCATCTTGTGTTTTTCTGCGTTACCACCGGGCGGTACAGCCACTCCACATATCTCATTGATAGAATAAAGTCAGAGCTCCTCCGCTGATCTATGGCAGACGAGGAGGTTCAGTCTTTAAGCGTCCAGTTTGTGCATCGCGGTGGGGAAACATTGAGCTAAATCCTCCTCATTTTTGCTGATGAGGACTGCGCGTCTCTGTCACCCGCTCCGCTGCGCTGCTCCAGAGATGCTGGACCGATTTTTCTCCCCCAACACTGACAGCTCGCTGGCGACACGACGTCCACACTGGTGCACTATGGGAAATGTAGTTTACTTGCATCTCTTTAATTCACTTTTTTAAGCTTAAGTTCCTCCAACTATACTGACTACTGATTCATACCCAGTAGCAGTATAGTTTACATTTACATTTACTCATTTGGCAGACGCTTTTATCCAAAGCGACTTACATTTGAGTAACAACATATAAGCATTGATAAAGCTTCGAAAAAGCATCTATAATGTAGGGGACAATAGATACTTGTAAGAGCAGCAATAAATGCTAATAAGAGCCATTAGCGTTTATCTTTTCACATCTTATTGTCAGCTTTATATTTAGGATTCTTGCCCTGCAGTACTTGCTCTATCTTAATCAGTCTTATATTTTTCTACCTGTGTATGTTTATCGTATCAAAACACCAAAGCAAGTTCCTTGTAGGTGTAAACCTTCTTGGCAATAAAGCTGATTCTGTACAGTACTTAAGTACAAGTTTGAGGTAGGCTACTTGATATACAGTAATACTTGAGTGTTTTCTTCTCGTGCCACTTTTTATTTCTAATCCACTATACACCTCAGAGGTAAATGTACTGTTTACTTCACTACAATTATCTGAAAGCTTTTGTTACTAGCTACTTTACACAATACAATTTTTTTTATTACTTTGGCATTTCTCGCTATTTTCTGAATGTTTTACAAACCAAACAATCAATCGATTACTGCTGAAAATAATCAGGCAGATTAATGTCTACCACCTAAACCAACTACAAATCAAATTTAAAATCCTGCTTATTTGTTTAAGACATTGATTTATTGTTGTCTAATATCTGTAACGGTGTAGCCTTTCACCTGCCTGTGATAGGTGTCAGCAATCTCCTGCAAACCGCATAAACTTATTTTGGCTATGCCCATCCAAACTGGACGGAGATTTGTAATACCATGTCAGAGATAACTGGGGAAAAGTACAACCAAATGCTCTCAGTGCATTGTTTGGTGTCTTGGTTTCTGTCACCCTATTAGCTAGAAGACAAATATTGACCAGAGGGAAATCAACAGCATCTCTCTCTTAAATAGGCAACCTGAGTTTTCTTAGATTGGAGAAAGTTAGACTTTCATTAAGTGGCTCCTCCAATAAATTTGGTAAAATATTGGGTCCATTCTTCTGGTTCATTAAAAGTATTATTTCCCACTTATTCCTGATTAAAGCGAGTTTTGTGGTCTGTAGAGGCATCAATAGTGTGTTTATTGCTGCTTTTCGGATTATATGTGTCCACTAAGGAGACAATTTAGCTGACTGGTTATTTTAGTTTTCTCTTTCTTTCTAAGCTGTTTTGGTGTTTAGCAAAATGTCAGTGGTCAATTTTTATAATAGCTTTGTATAAAGGCGGATACATATTAATTTTTACTTTTTTAAATGCTCTTGCAAAACAAAAAAGCTAAATCCTGCTTTTACATTATTTAATGATGACAAGGGACATTTTCTGCATAAATAAAATTTTCTGATTATACTTTTACTCAAATAACATTTTCAATACAGGACTTACTTGTACTACAATATTTTTACAGTGTGTTTTTAGTACTTTTACTGAAGTAAAGGATCTGAGTACTTCCTTCACTTCTGCTACTTAATACCACAAATTAGCTAAATGGATGTTTAAATGCAATTTGGATTAAAAAGAAATATCTGAATACATTTTTGCATTGTTGTTTACATACCTGATACGTTTTAATGCAATATGTGTCTTGATACTGGAAGCTTCCACATCTGTAGACCTCTAAACCCCCCAGACATTGCAATAAAAACTCTCAAGAAACTTATTTCTCATTTCAAGTCCAACTAAAATCACATTTAGACGTCCATTTTTACAATAAAAAATAACAAGCAATGCAATTTAATTGCTTTAATTTTATGGGTAGCCTATGACAATAGTTCCCAATATTGGGGTTGGGGCCCAATTAATCTAAGTAGTCACACGATGATTAAATGGATATGAAAGAGAGAAAAAACATGATACTGGATACCCCTTTAAAAAGACGTCTAAAAATCCTTCAAAATGAAAAGGAAAAATGAAGCTTTGCTGAAATGCTCACTATTCATACCCACACTGGCCTAAAGACTAATTATCCTTAGAACTGCCATGCAATTAAATACATACAGTATATGAGCAATAATAATTAAAGTAATTGTAATATTTTTAAGCATGAATTGAGTACATTTAATTGTCAGTTTCAAGTAAATACCCATGGGTCATTTAAAAGACTTTAATTATTACCCTGTAAGCTTTGCATAAAAAAAAAAATCCCTTAATCTGTGCCTCTGAATCAGAACCCATAATACCAACCATTATTTCTTAAAGCCACATTAATTTTAATCGATAATGGTTCTAGATTTCATGAAGAAATCGAGGGCTTTTAAGGTAGTAAAATAATGTTTTGGCTCGCTTTGACTCAGTTAATTTAGCAAACGTACAATTATTTAAACTGTTGTGAGCTGAATGTCAGTAGCATCATCAAGTCACATCTGGATTATTATTTGTTTTGCATGTTTATTATCTGACGTGTTCGGCCTGTACTCTAAATGTCAGGCATATCAGCCTAATCAGTCTCCAACAGGCCTGTTCATAGCAACAAGGAAATGTCAGTAGAATTGACTATTCATAAGGACGTTATTAATTAGGCTTTATTGCACATCCAGGAGAATTTCAGTCAGGTTCAGTCTTGATGACAGATTTTAAAATACACTAAAGCTCTGCGTCCCTGATGAAGAGTGTAAACTCCAGCTTGATTGGATGTGGTGTCGGCTTAGGTGCAATAGCAGGCAAAAAGCATCATCTTGTGGCTGTCTGAGTGAAGTAAGAAGCTCTGGCGTTCCTCTCAGTTATTTTTAATCTGCAGGAGCAGCAGGGATGACACAGTCTGGACAAGTATGGTACAGCGCTTAAATAATCACATCATTGGGAATGAAACAGCAAGAAAATGGAATTCACCTTCTAAATAACACAGCAAACAACATCAACAATGACTCATGTGTGATATACTCTGTTCAATACTGTCATGGCAGTCAGAGTCAGAATTAAACAAAAATGTGATCATAAAATAATTTGTAAAATATCGAATAAAAGATTGCTCTCATCTCAACAAAATAACTGCACCTTAGAAACAACCCAATAGTGGTCTATTGTGTGCACCAGGCTGCTACAGATGTTCTACCAGTCTTCTTTGCTGTGGTGTGCTGGGACAACAAACTGTGCAAGCTGGTGAGGCGGGCCAGCTCAGTGGTGGAGATGGAACTGGACAATGTGGAGGCAGAGACTGAAAGGAGGATGAGATGGAAGCTGAAAGCCATCATGGACAGCCCCTCTCATCCTCTCCATGCAGAGCACCTTCACCCACAGTCTCATCCAAAGATATATATATATATATATATATATATATATATATATATATATATATATACATAGAATGTTACTGATTCTTATTTTACTGCATCTGTTCTTTTACATTCCTCTGTGCTGTTATGTCAACCTGACTACAGGTGATTAATAAAGGTATAGGTTATTTTATCTAATCTTAGGTTGTACAGGTTCGTGGATATGAAGCGTTTGAAGATACTCTAAGAAATTACATGACACAGTAAGCAAAAATACCATTTTAGGCACTGGCGGGACATTTGTATTGCAGAGTTCAAAGGGTTAATAACAATATATAATAATATAATATATAAAGTGTAATAATGTATCTGCCCTCTGCAGTTACACTCAGCGGTCACAGGTGGCGCCAGTGAGTAGACAGCCAATGTTTTGAAGCGCACCAGAGGAAGAAGCCTTGCTACTGGAGTTTACTAGTTGAATGACAGGAGCTCACAGCAAAGTTTACTTCTCTGCTTGGGAATAACTTACCATTCTTCAGCGCAGAGTCGCAGCGGTTCCGACACCTGACTGGCGGCTTGACCCTGAAAGAAAATGCGGGACCGAACCAAAGAATTAGGGAACGTGAGTGTCAAAGCAAACTGCTAACGTTAGCAGTTAGCGCGCTAGCCTGCTAACTTAGCCAAGTTGATTCCTTCGGGTCGAGTAACGGTCCCTAACTTCTTCTGCCGTGACAACTTTGAACAAGAGATTAAACTCTTACAAGTGGTTAATACAACAACGTGTGACGGTTTGCATGTCTAAATGTTAGCGACATTTTATTTCCAACTTCCGTTCCAGCCGTCTGTACTTCAGGATATGTCAGGCCGGGACAGGGCACGCCTGCTGGGGCTGATCGAGTCTGTCTGAAGGAAAGATTTTCAGACATGAGAAAGCCCTCACTGTAATATCTTTTTGTTCATTTGTGACAGCAGAATGCCGAGACTTCAGACGAGGACGAGGAAGGCAAAGCCTTGATGATCAAAACTGGAACCTCTTCAGTCAAAGAGGAGAAGGAGAATGAATCATTCTTTAAAAAGGTGGAGTTTATCTAAACATTGAGATTAATTAACCTAACCTACTTATAACATGTCTAAGATCTAAAGGGCTTGTCTGGAAGTGTTTGTCTTAAATTATAGCGGTAGGAAAATAAAGTTTGAATGTGAAGAATAAACATTCTGCATGTTTGTTTACATTGTTAAACTGAGAAAAGGACACATGGACCCAGTCTTGTCTGAGCTTTCTAAATGTTGTTTTGTCAACATCCCAATCCCTGTTAATCCCAGTGTCATTGCCCTCAGCTGCCATGGATAAGGTCCCAGTGTTATTGCCATATTATAAGAGCTGAAATGAAAATGAATGTCACTGGTTCTAACATCCAACTTCTCATATTTGAGTATTTGCTAATTTTCTTTGTCCTCTGTGGTAGCAGATTAAATAACTTTTGGGTTTTAAATTATTGGTCGGTCAAAAGAAACTAATTCAAGATTCATTCATTGTCAGATGTTTCACTGCACACTGAAATTCTTACTTTGATGTCTACATTGAATGAAAAATTAAAATGTATGTATAAATAAAAATAAAATAAATAGAGCTGGAAAATAAGCTTCAAATATAAAAATGTAAAAATCAGATGGGAAAAAATATGTCGCCGTAAGACTGCTGGCATCAGTCCACTAGCAGAGACAGTAAATATAAAATTATATAAAACAGAGAAAAGCAGCAATTGCTCACATTTGAAAACCTGGAACCAGAGCATATTTGGCATTTTTATCTAGATAGATGAGTTAAACTCTTAATTGGTTAAAAAAAACTTGTGGATTAATTTTCTGTTGATTAATTGACAAAAAAATGCAACTGTTAACAATATGTCTGCCTACGATCTGTAAGACTACAACTTCTTTCCAATTCTTAGGTTAAAGAAATTCACGAAGGGCTGCAAAATCTCAAAAGGATTGTGTCTGAGCTTGAGAACAAACAGAAAACTGTGCTGGGTGTAGCACTGCCAGAGGAGAGTAAGTATGTTTGTTTAGGCCAAAGTCAAGTAATAATTGAGAAGATTTAAAAGTCTTTACCATTTAAGTCAACATTAATAATAATTGCAAAAGTTCTGAAATGGGGCAGTGGATTGCTGAATATGTTGTTTTCCTCTTGCGTTAGGTATGAAGAAAGAGCTCCAGACTCTTCGAGAAGAGATAAAAACGTTGGCGGGTCAGATCCAGAGAAAATTAAAAAGTGAGTAAAGTATTGATGGATAACAAGTGAACAGAATGTTTATGTTTTTTTGTTTGTTTACTTGGATTACACTTATCTTTTCACAGGTATTGAATCGAAAAAGGGAGAGGAGGATGGAAAATATGTACCCATAAATGTTCGGATGCAGCGGACCCAGGTTGACTCTTTCACTTTTGCTTTTATGCCATAACATCATAGTCTGAAGTCGTACCTTTCTAAGCATATAACTAGGGCTGGACAATTAAACAATAACAATAATTATCACGATATAATATTTTTCAATAACAAATATTCAATAAATGTTTGATTTTATTCACTTGAATCATACACAATGTTTATTTTGTTATGGAAAAAAGGACTGAAAAAAGCTTTTACTTAATTTTACTCATGCATATTTGTTGACAAAGATTTTATCAGAATTGTTTTGAATGCTCTACCTCGTTTCTGTGAAGTGATCCACTGATTGGCATCAAGTGTTGACCATAAGGAAGAGTTTAAACCACAATTAACCATCAGGTTTCTTCAAATTTCTCTAAACTTTTCTAAAATTTGAAACGTATCGTGATAATTATCGATTATCGATTTTTTGACCATATCGCCCAGCCCTACATATAACTCTCACAGATGTAACATCTTATCACATCTTAAAATATCAGACCTTATGTAAATCTCCAACAAACATAGCCGTGGCTGCAGGAAGCTGTTTTATTCCACTTATTATCAGAGCAAAAGGTCAATCAAGGGTGGAAAAAGCCTTATGTAAACTCAAAGAGAAGAAACTGGTTTATTAATTTCATTTAAAATAGCTGGTTTTACTTTATTTTCAGTTAGTTAACTGTGTGTGTGTGTGTGTGTGTGTGTGTGTGTGTGTGTGTGTT